ACACACACACACACACACACACACACACACACACAAACACACACCTCTGGCTAAAAGAAACTCAACCTGAACCTTATGCAGGTGCAACCTCTTCAGTGAATTGAGTGAAATTATTATGAATATATAGGCAGACTACATAACCTGTACACAAGATTCCACCCCAGTTGACAACACAACAATAAAACCTGTCACAACCGTTCCTGTGCCTTACGAATATATCTGAATATTCATAAGAACATGATGAATATTTTGATGATGATGATGCCATCTCAGCTCTACAGCATCATGGCTGCTGATGGAAAAATAGAAGAGTTCGCATGGCAATTCTGTCCGGGATTTGATAAGGTTTCTATTATGTCCAATAATGGTTTTTAATTAATATGTAATTTCCCGTGATTCTCAGCCCTGCCCACTGCGACTGTCTGTCTCGCCTCAAAACTAACAAATATAAATACATGCTATTTACTTTCTATATCATAGCATCAATAAAACAGATTTTATTATTTAATTTAAAATATTTGTCCGAGATGGACCGAAATAGTTAACAGTAAAGCTATGTGGCGATTGCCGCGGCTCTTTCCATTCAAACGCACAGCCATCACGATTTTAAACGCATTAAATGACGTTTTCTTTAACTATCGGTTCCCAAATACTCCGTGTTATTAATTTAACACATTCCCATCAATGAATCTAACATGAAACACCCGCGTCCGGCTGGTTAGCTGGTTAAGCTAACTAACTAGCCCCGCTCGGTTGTCACGACTGACCCGCCCGGCGGATTCCCTCCCTCACCTCTGTGTGTCAGTCTCTCTGTGTCCTCCGGACCGGTCCGGCTCAGCAGAGACAGGTGTGTCCGCTTCTGACCGAAGCTCCGTGTAATTGAGAGTATTTGGTGTTTGAAGCTGCGGTCACCTACCACTCATGAATCCAAGATGTCGCCCGCTGCTCCCTCCCTCTGCAGCCGTCAGTGGACACGCGCACGCATGTTGGGTCCCATAGACGCTGTTTCTTTTTTTTTAAGCTTAGCCTTAGGTCATGTTATTTGCTAAACTCCAACCTCAACTTGGTTTGCCAACCTCCACAGAAGAAAATAAGGTAATTTAGATAAAAGGGACACTTCACATGTGTCATTTGAGATGTAGGTAAGCTATGGGATCAGATTCCCGCCAAATGTATTGCAGTCACGGATAAAAAAAAAAATAACAAGCATGAAACCAAAATTTTAAAACGCAAGTAAAATTATATTGCACAAAATTTAAAAATGAAAGCAAAGTTTTCAGAATAGCATAGTAAGCCTTTAGTAGCAGGTAAGAAACAAAATGCTACACACAATGCTTTTATATTCTCCTGAGAACCAGAAAAAGTTTTTTTTTTAATGTCATTACATTGGTTGGAGCATAAGAAACAAATGGAGAAAAAAAAAACATTTTTGAAAAAATATTTTATTCTATGTCCTTTGTAGAGGATGTCAGGACTAAGTTATTAAAAAAAAACAAAAAAAAAACTGAAACGGCATGTATAGGCTAAAACAATGTTTTATTTTTTCATTCACCAATCAGTTTTTATGTTTCAGCCTATTTTTAACCAAATCTTTTACAAAGATGATTCTCAACTATGTTATGAAAGATATAACAGAATGATTTGATATACTATTTTACTTTACTTTATGCAATTTGTGTGTAAAATGTCCATAAATTGGTATTCCTATTCTATACAATGTATCTATTCACTGCATTTATTTTGCATATGAATGTGTTCTTGGGGCAAATGTTTTATTTTTTCATTCACCAATCAGTTTTTATGTTTCAGCCTATTTTTAACCAAATCTTTTACAAAGATGATTCTCAACTATGTTATGAAAGATATAACAGAATGATTTGATATACTATTTTACTTTACTTTATGCAATTTGTGTGTAAAATGTCCATAAATTGGTATTCCCATTCTATACAATGTATCTATTCACTGCATCTATTTTGCATATGAATGTGTTCTTGGGGCAAACCATAATGAAAAAAGAAGTGTAATAATGGGAGTATTAACTTGGCAACATTTTCATCCTGTCTGATTAACATGATGTTTGTCCTGGTGTCCTCTACAGAAGACATGCATGAAAATTATGCCCTGTTTCGTAGCAAAAAGTCATATTCCGATTTGAAACCCCATGACATTTTTCTGAGATGTTTATTTACGACAAACAATTTGAAAATTAGCCAGATTAAAATGATAATTACAAAACATGATCATATTTCCCTAAGAGTGCTAAATTTGATCATTCTGTCAATATCAGTCATATTTAAAGAAAGACCAAGGAGAGTGAGTATTTATGATCAAACCTCCAAACATTTGATATCTCTGAAAAGCCCTGAATGTGCTCTGAACAGGACATCCAGACTAAAACTGTGGCATTTATGCGCTCACAGAAATTCACTAAAATATAATGTCCTATAAAAAAGTCTATGCCTGGGTTCCAGGATATATACGTGTTTGTGATTGTTTGAGTAAAGAATAAATGCCTTTGTGAAAAAAAAAACCAGTGTGCGTACTTGTTTTGAATGTGCACATCTTAAAAGTATATCATAAAAATTAAAAAACAAACAAAAAAACTTGCAAATAATCTAGTATTAATGAAATAAAATGCCACTTAAGTGTACTTAAAGATTGTATATTTCTTAACACTTAAGTACACTTCTAAAAAAGTGCATTTTAATAATGTCAAATTAAAAGCTTCACATTTTAAATCATTGTTTTAATAATATTTTTTGTCGTGCTTTAATGAAGTAGGCCTACACTTATTTTCATATTAAAAATGTAGTACTTGACTATAATTTTAACTCTAGCTTGTACCCAATATTACATTTTTTACTTTACATTACTTTTACTTTACCAAATTCCAATGTAGAAATACATATTACACATAAATATGTACGTAAGTGCTTTAGAAAAGCACTGTACAGTTCAAATAATTGCATTAATACACATTTAACCAATACATTACATTATAATAATTACAATACATTATTATGTAATTGTAAATAACATGCACTTAAGTGTCCAAAAACTTTACATTCAGTTTGTACTTAAGTGCATTATTTTAAAGTATATTATTTATTTCCATAATAAGTGATCTTTTTAAAGTATGCTTTTTTCACTTCTTTCTCACAAGGGTTTGAGATGCAATCACCAGATTTTTTACTGACATACAACGTAATTTTCGCTGTTGTAAAAATGCATGAAATGTTCATGTCATAGTAAAGTGTCACACACCATTACACACATATAGCTCAAACAAACATAATTTTTCACAAGTTGTTTTCCATTCTAATCCCTAAAGTTTTGACAAATGTAATGCAGCAGAGTCAGTGTTCACACTCTTCAGAAAGTCTGCCCACAGATGGCTTTCTTATAGTTGCCTGAACATTAAAATAAAAGGCGAAAGTATTTTAACAAGTTACACACATTAGCATTAAAAAAGATCTCACTGGAATGTCTCAAGAGAACAGAGCTATAACTGGATCTGTCCAAACTCTTCTGCTCTAAATGTGGCATCGCATGCTTAATGAGGATTAAAATGTTGTGTAATTAAACTTGAAGACTGTTGGGAGTGGATGTGACTCCAGATGTGTGTGCTGGAGGACCAGAAATGAAGAGTTTTTCACTTCTGTGATTCATGATGCTTCATCTAGTCAAATGAAGGGTTACAGATCACAGCATATGGCTGTAAATAATTTTCTTATATACCGTACACTGAATTTTCATCATTTGTGCTGGCATTTGCTCCTTCTCTTTGTCTGCTTTCTGGAATCCAGGACATTTTTAAGAGCAAAATGAATCCGGGCCCCATAGTTCATTAACATCACTCCCTTACATTTCACCAAATCGCATTGGTGGAGGTCTGAAGAAGCCAGTGTTTTAGTGTTAGTTGCCAAAAAACTCTTGCACCTGACAAATATGTCAAAAAAAAGCCCTATAATGGGAGTTTATGGGATTTTTCATCAGTTTTATTTTTGAATAATGATATAGTCGCAATAGTCTCCTCAACAAGCTGCATGATTTTCAGTATGAGAGTGCAGGACAGTTTATGTGCTAAAGTTTCATTTTTAGGGTTAAGGTTTGTTTATAAAGTGTGAAGCGTGTTCATCATGTGTAAGTGGTTCAGTCTCAGTTGTATATAAATTACGGCTTGTCCCTGGATCTTCCTTTGATACGGTGGGAATATAAATCATAGAACAGCACTTCTGAGAGCCAAAGAGAATGAAATACAGTGGTGTGAAAAAGTGTTGGCCCCCTTCCTGATTTCTTATTTTTTTGCATGTTTAATGTTTCAGGGGGGCAAACACTTTTTCACACAGGGCCATGTAGTTTTGGATTTTGTTTTCCCTTAATAATAAAAACCTTCATTTAAAAACTGCATGTTGTGTTCACTTGTGTTATCTTTGACTAATATTTAAATTTGTTTGATGATCTGAAACATTAAAGTGTGACAAACATGCAAAATAATAAGAAATCAGGAAGGGGGCCAACACTTTTTCACACCACTGTATATTCTTCTCCCTTAAATGCTGACAGACTGTCAGAATCAGTGTGGGAAAACTTTCTCTATGAGAATAAAACTGCAAGAAAATCCACCCATCATTTTCTACCACCTTAACTAGAGCATGAGTGGAGATTAGTTATGACGTCCCCCAAGCTCACATATAAAATTCCCTTGTGTTTCTTGTGAAAAAGAAGTGCTTAACTGTACTGAATTTGCACTTGTACGTCATACTAAAATGCCACTTAAGTGCACTTAAAAAGAGTTCACTTTCATGCCTGTTTCTCAACATACTTTTAAAAAGTGCTTTGTAATAATGTCAAATTAAATTTTGATTGATTAATTGATTATAATTTCAACTCTTGTGTGTTATTTGATATATTTAAAGTTTTTAATTTAATTGTAAATAACATGCATTTAAGTGTCCGAAAACATCACATTAATTTTGCACTCAAGTATATTACTTCTGTAATTACAGTACTTTTTTTTTTTTAAAGTGTGCTAAAATGTACTTCTTTTCACAAGGGGCTGTTTGCTGAAAACATATTCTTTGGTTGCAAGTTTTAAGGAATTATGGACTTCATTATGTTGTCTAGAAGAGAAGGTTTTGTTATGTCTTCATGATGCAGAAGAATAAAAGTGATTTTTTATAAATAAAACAATTTGTTTCGTGTTGTCATAAAACAGTGTACAGCGAGTATTAAATTGAACCATTCAATACTATCTGTTTCCAATAATTAAAAATGTGATAAATGCATCTGAGAAAAAAAAATGGAAGGTTTACAGAGAAACAATGAAGCACAGTGCTGATAGTTAATGATGACAGACATTAACATATTAAGTACTGTGTTGTTTGAGGAAGAGTGAGAGAGTGAAAGGAGCTGCTCTTCATCATATAATAATAATAATAATAATAATAGTGCATCTTTAGGTTGCTTAAGGAGTGCTGATAACATTGAAACATTAAAGATCCATTTCAAACTTCATCACTGCTGCAGGTTCAGTACATGTAATACAGGTGGACTGTTACAAAGAATAACAGTACAGGACTGAATATCTCCCAATTAAGTTCTTTAAATCAACAGATGATTTACTTAATAAATGTCCCTGGTCTTAATGTGCACAATTTATCAATTCAGGTTATTAAAACAACAAAAGAGATGAAAAAAAACATCATGCATCATGTTTAATAAATTCATTTTAACCCAAAGAGTAAGGCGGACTTTAAAAGTCCTGTCTGTAAACTTAAAAACACGATTTTTCTCTCTCACTCTCCACAATTCTTAGCAGAAAATTAAAGCCATAAATATAAAATAATTGCCAAAGATTCTATCTTTTGATAGCATTTGTCTTTTTTTAAATCATTCAAAATTATTTGTTCATCCTTAAAAAGCAAAAGTGCACTTAGGATGGGATAAATGCAGAGCACTAATTCCTAGTATGGGTAACCATACTTGGCCACATGTCACGTCACTTCAGTAAAAGGTGATTTAGAAGTAAGAGATATCCTGACTTTCTTCTCATGTCATGCTTTTCTCTCCTGCTTAATTTAGTTCATCTTTGATTGAAAAACAGATCTTAACTTGTAGTTAATAAACTGGTCAGAGGACAAAATATTAAAAAATGCAGGTAAAGTACATAAAAAGTACACAAAAACCAGCAAGCATTCACCTTCATCACTGCATCGCACAGAGTCTCCTTAAATCAGAGAACTCGGGTCTCTGAGGGCATGATGGGATACGTGATCTGTTCCAGTCTTCTTCACTGAAGAAAGTGCAAGCCACAGGACACAGGAGGGACATTAGGAGGGACACTCAGCTACTAAAATGTCAATGCATCTCTTTCTCGTCTTCCTCCCCATCTTTCTTTCTTGATTTCACAGTGCCTTGAGCATGTGGGTCGACCCTCGGGGTCACATGAAGCTCATCACATGACGTCGACGAAGAACTCACTAGGGTTCCCCATGGCCATGCGGAAAGATTGGCGCGAGGCTGTGAGTTCGGGCGGCACTGAGGCCAGGTCTCGGTCTGGAGGAGAGCCCGGCGCTGCTGTGGAGGGTGTCTGTGGCTGTGGCTGTGGAGGGAGGCCCGGCGCTCCACACACCAGGCTCTGGACGCTCCGGATGGTGTGTGAGCTACGCATGCTGTGTTCACTAGGGGCCGCAGCAGAGCGCTCACTGGGAGCCTTCTCTCTTTTTTCGGACTCGCTGTTTTTGCTGCCGCTTCGATTCGAGCCACTGCTTCGACTGCCTGCGAGCGAAATGAAAGAAAAGAAAAGTGAGACTTCCTATTTAAGTCTAATTCTTTGGTAACTTTTCCATGTATTCGCCTTGTAATTGGATTAGATATAATTAGGGCAGAAGAGTTAAGCTCTTTAAGGCATTAAGGGGCAATATTTGCCCCCCTGGAAGTGATTTCATTTTTCTTTACCTTTGTATATAAGAGAGAGAGAACAAGCTGCTCTATATCACATCTCCTCACAGATCTGAGAAACACACACACACACACACACACACACACACACATATACAGAGCCATCAAAAGGGTTGTGCCAAGTGGCACTATTGGCATCATGCCAAAATAAAGTGATCTTGTCCTTTCGAAAAACTATAACAGCTAAAAGTCAAAACTAATAGTGAGACTATGTGTATACTGCTTGTTAAAAATGTAATAGAACTTACAATTCATCAGTGTTGGGCGGAAACCTTGTATATTCAAAACCATTACTTTTCAGGAAATGGAAAAGTATTTTTAAAAAATAATTAAACACTGTGTTGTCAAAGATGATATCATGGCTTTATATATGGTCAGCAGTGTTGGGCATGTTACTCTGAAAATGTAATCAAATTACTGATTACTCCTTTTAAAAGTAATCACGTTACTGTTCTGATTACTTTATTTCAAAAGTAATTAGTTACATTATGAGTTACGTTACTTTTTTCTCCATGAAATTTATGAAATCCCAGCATACACGCTTCCGATAAATATTTGTTATTAAAGCATCAACATTCACAGAACACTGTTATTTTTAACTAAAGCAAGCGGCTGCTGCGTGCATGGTTTGGCATGGCAGAATGCCAGCAAAGAGCGCTGTATTTATAATCTCTAAAAGACATCTCAGTTCATCGCAATCTCACAAATCTCTGTTATAACACAATAAATATAAGCATAATGAATCTTTCATAATGTCTACAATTCGTGTGTTATAATGAGAGGATTCGTGAGCACGCAAATTTCAGCACTGCATTGTTCAACGCTGCAGACACATGTTATAGCCTAAATAGAAACTCTGCATACGCTTGCACCTGTTAATCGTTTATATTTTATATTAGTTCATGTTGCTTTTGTGCAATAGATGAATAACAATTTATTTGTTTTAGATATTTTATGTTTAGATATTTCTATTTTGCGGGAGTCCCGTGAATCATTTTATTCTCCCGCATCCCGCACATACACAAGTGTCTACCTGCCCGCAGCAGCACTCGCCCATCTTGTCCCGCGCCGCACTCTGTCGCGTCGGGTCTCGCAGGAGCAGGTCTCTAATCCACTGGATTATCCATCCTTTTTACAATCTCTAGATTATAAAACACTGCATTCTGTCAGCAATGTAACGCGGCAGTAACGTATAGAGACCTCGGCTTGTAACTATACTCTAATTACTATTTTGAAAATTATAACGCGTTAAATTACTCCGTTACTAAAAAAGTAATCAAATTACATTAACGCGTTACTAAGTAATGCATTACTGCCCAACACTGATGGTCAGATACTTGCATATGTCATTATATTATTAACATTTTACCAAAATCAAGCTTAAGTGGAGTTACAAGGTTTTTCATCAGTGAATGTTGGACATCTGTGTTTTGTGCGTCATTAGAACGGCATTAGAAGTTCATCACATTACGTTTTCATCAATTTACATGTTATAAAGTTTAGTGGCGCTCCGTTTTTTTCTGTCATTTGGCCACAGTCTTCAGTGTCACATGATCCTTCAGAAATCATTCTAATATGCTGAAGCTGAGCAGAACTAAATGTAATTCCATATAATCTATTGCGACATAATCACATTTGTTTTACTTTAATTGTGCAGGGGCAGTTGTGGCGCTCATATCCTGAATTTGGGGGGCATTATTGTTCATTTAAGCCCCAGTTTAATTTCTGCCCCTGATCGAACGCAGTCTCACCTTCGCTGTGCGGGCTGCCAGCGCTGCCGCCCCCTGCAGTGAAGCTGTGGCTGGGGTCGTGCACAGGGTGGGGATTGTACGGGTGAGGGATCGGGTACTGATAAGGGAATGTGAGCGGCCAGGGAGCTACACCAGGGTGAGGCAACGGAGCGAGAGTGTCCTGGTCAGACGCCCCACTAGAACCGTCATGGTCATGCAAGGTGAGACTGGCCATATCTGAGACAGAAGAGGAACAAACAGGAGGGAATAGAGTTCACTCCAAATTAATAAATGAAAGACGCTTCAATGTGAAAGAGTGGGGAGAAATCAAAGAACTCACTGCCGCACAGGTCACCAAAGATGTAATAGCACTGTTCAGAGAAAGTGATCTTGTTGACAGTGTGCCGGATGTAGCCAGCTTTTAGCAGGTTGCTGGCGTATTTGCGTGCCTCCCGTCTGTCAGTAAAGCCCTCAACGTGATGATAGAGCCAATCCACCACATCTGAACCTGAGAGGAAAACAAATATTTTACTTCTGAAGACACTAGCGGAATGTCCACATCCAACTTCAATTTAATGCATTCTCCGAAATGAATTATTATTTAAAACAATTATGACTGTTACCAATCAAATCAAATACAACAGTGGCTGTAAACTCACCCTTGTGAAAAAGTAGCATACTTTTGAAAAGAGTACTTATTACGGAAATAATGCTTTTAAATTTTACTTTATAAGAATATACTTAGGTGTGAACTGAGTATAATACACTTATTCGCATGCTATTTACTTTATTGTATTAAATAGCTTTATTCATTTATATTAAATGCAGATATCTGAACTTAAAGAGTGCTTTTAATCCACTAAAGGACATTTTTATTTGTAATTTAATAATTACTTATATTGTCTTTGAAATGTACTGACAGCATTTAAGGTAAACTAAAATATAGTTCTCACTGTCATTTTTATTGAAACTTGTAAGTAATGTATTTACATATATTTGTAATTATACATTTGTAATGATGAAGTTGAACTTAAGTACATTTAAAATATATGAACTAACTTTAACTGTAATATCAAATATCACACTACAATAAAATTATGATCAAGAAAACGTGCTTTAGTATATTAGTCAACACATCAAAATAAGTGTACTTCTTTAAAGCAAAATATTATTAAACAAACTGGGACCCACTTTATATTAACATGGTAGTTAAAGACACCTAATATAAAGTTGGGCCACATAAGGATTCAAACGTTACTTTAAAGTAAAATATTTAATTTGACATTATTACAAAGTCCACTTTTAAAAAGTGTACTTAAGTTAAATGTCTCTTTTTAAGTACACTTAAGTGGCATTTTATTTAATTATTATTATTATATTATCTATTATAGTTTTTACAAAAATATACTTCAAGATTCGAAAAACACTACTAGTGCACATTCAATACTATTAAGCACACTTCTTTTTCATACTGGCTTAACTGGATAGATACTGAAAATGATGAAAAACATCAAACATGAGATAACAAATAAAAAAAGAAATTCATTATGATGAACCTGTTTATCCCTTTTGGTGGCATTTTCTCTCCACGCTCAAGTTCATTTTTAAGAGTGAGGCTGCAGGTTTACCTATGAAGGCGTTGGGGATGGTGATCTTCAGCCACATTCTGTCCCGCACCTCCAGGCCTGACTCTGGAGATGCCATTGCTTTGGCTACTGCTGCCATGTCGCTATGGATGGACAGATGGAAATCCTCGAACCCTGCAGAGTAAAGCTCAGTGAGACAGTGCACAGCAGTCCACAGATGTGAGCGTGAATTACAAAGAAATGCTCTGAACATCAAGATGTTATAGCCATTATCAACTGATCTGAACTTTCTGACTTCTCAAACATTACAAATCCATCTAATTTCCCGGGAAAAAGAGGTGTGCTTAATTGTATTTAATGTGCACTTGTAGTGTACTTCAAATCTTAAAAGTACACTTTCATGACTTACTTAACACACTTAAGTGCCCTTTGTAATGATGTCATATTGAAAGTTTTACTTTAAAGTACATTTTAAACCTTTATGTTTTAATAATTTTTTGTCATGCTTTAAAGACGTACACTTACTTTGATGTGTTAACATACTAAAGCACATTTTAACTGTGGTGTTTATTATTAATCAAATTTAAACTATAATACAGTTTTATTTAATTGTAAATAACATGCAATTATGTGCAAATATTACATTCAGTTCATACTAGTATATTCTTTTAAAGAATTGTATTTACAAGTACTCTATTTAAAAGTATTCTAAAGTGTACTTTTTTTGACAAGGGCTGTACTGCCTAATTTTTAATGTCTAATTTTCTGTATGTATTTTGTTGAAGACTAATCACAAATCTTTGATTTTCATTTGACACTCAGTTGTTAAGGGCTACGATCACAACACAGTAAGCAGTGGGTTGGCAGATGAAATCATCCTCTGGCGACAGCCAGCGGGCACAGCAGAGGTGGATTATGGGAAGGGTGGGTGGATAAACACTTACGCTCAGTCTCTGGAATGGAGCTTGTGATGGAGGAGCTGGTGGAGGTGATTGTGCTCATGGAAGGGCTCATACCGTACACTGGGTACGTCCCCGTCATAGCGGCAGTGTGAGACACCCAGGCAGCAGGGTCTATGGGACGGATCGGCTCACCTGAACAAACACAGGGGGAGTAAACGGATGCCTGGTCACTTTAGATGCTACCAAAGAGGTCAAAAACAGTAAAAGAAAATGATTTAATTTGAACTGTGAGAGTGAAATGGTTGCGAACACCACTTCATGTTTAAAAGAATAGTTCACCCAGAAATTAAAATGTACTCACCCTCAGGCCATCCAAGATGTAGATGAGTTTGTTTCTTCATCTGAGAAATGTAGCATTCTGTCACTTGCTCACCAATGGATCCTCTGCAGTGAATGGGTGCCGTCAGAATGAGAGTCCCAACAGCTGATAAAAACAATAATCCACAAATAATCCACACCACTCCAGTCCATCAGTGAACATCTTGTGAAGTGAATAGCTGCGTGTTTGTAAGAAACAATCCATCATTAAGGCATTTTAACTTTAAACCATCGCTTCTGGCCAAAATACCATCCATAATAATGCCTCCTCCAGTGAAAAAGTCCATCTCCTGTTGTCCTCTCACAACAAAATCCACCGACATATTGTTTAGTACTTTTTGGGACTGTTTTCGGTGCTTGATCTGTGCATATTTCTCTCCTGATTCAACGAGACGACGTTTTCACTGGAGAAAGCAATATTATGGATAGAAGAGCGATGGTCTGAAGTTAAAACTATCTTAAATATGGATATGTTTCTTACAAACAAGCAACTTTTCTCTTCATAAGACATTAACTGATGCACTGGAGTGGTGTGGATTATTGTGATGTTTTTATCAGCTGTTGGGACTCTCATTCTGACGGCACCCATTCACTGCAGAGGATCCATTGGTGAGCAGGTGATATAATGATACATTTCTCAGATGAAGAAACAAACTCATCTACATCTTGGATGGCCTGAGTGCGAGTACATTTTCATATTTGGGTGAACTCTTTCTTTAATAGCACTGTAACCCACTATCTCTTACTTCGTGGGAGGGTGAAACAGCTACGGGGGTTTGGATCCCAACATTTGGCCACAGTCAGTGTGATGGGTCTGTAAATGTGAACATACACAATTAGAAGAAATGTCGGTGCTGATATCAATCTCATTTAGTCCATAATAAGAGCACCAGACATCACGGTGTCCACCTCTTACCCAGGTTTATGGACGATCTCTCGCAGCACCCTCACTGCATCATCATTACTCATGTTCTCAAAGTTGATATCATTCACCTACAACAAAAGAAAGCAACTCTTATAAATCACAACAACCATGAGCAGGAATATCTTCCAGTACAAATCAAGCAGCCAAACCAGACCTGCAGAAGCATGTCACCAGGCTCAATGCGTCCGTCAGCAGCCACCGCACCGCCCTTCATGATGGAGCCGATGTAGATTCCTCCATCGCCCCTCTCATTACTCTGCCCGACTATACTAATGCCCAGAAAATTATACTTCTCTATAGTAAGGGGGAGAGAGAAAAGCAAAATGAGAGATGAACAGCAGAGTATAGATTTAGTATTGTTAGAGTGCAACATTTTTATCTTCATAATCATTTGTTAAAATATAGTAACATTCTCCACTTCTTGGATGACCTTTTTTCCATGGGTATAGATATTAAAGGAATATTAATAAACGGAATCTGCACAAGACATTAAATAATAAACCGAAAGAAACACAAGGCCTAAATGAAAATTCAATCTAGTTTCTATTTCTAAATGCATGTTATAGATCTTATTGTGAACAATTCATCCGTTCATATGTTGCATTCTTTTTTTTAAATGTTGTCCTTGCAATGTTTAATCAGAATGTCAAAACTGGATCTTCCAGTGAAAATGTCAGACTGCTGTTTGGTGATGTATGCAGGTCTTCTCCAATCATTTAGTGCTCTTAAACTCCGCCCCTGCAAGCTTTTCATTGCATTCATCATCCTCCACTTTTGAGTGCCATGTCCACTTCTCAACATCCAATCAACAACTGATGTGTAGAACAAAGTCCCCACCCTACTTTTTCTTTTTTTGACGATCCATTACAGTCAGATGTACGTCACAATTCGGAAGAAAATGTCACTACTTCTGTTTCATTGTGACTTTAAAGTCAAAGATCCAATAGCATAAAATCTACATCTCAAAGAATTACAAACAAAACCAAAGAAAAAAAAAAAAATCAGTCCCCACTTTCAGTTTTTTTGTTTTTTGTTAAACACGTTTTATAGTTTCTGGTAAAGATTTTGTGCTGGAAATCTTGGATTTCAAGCAATTAATACTTTTATTCAGCAAAGACGCATTAAACTAATCAAAAGTCACAGTACAGTCATTTATAACGCTACAAAAATGTATATTTCAAATAAATATTGTTCTTATGAACTTTCGATTTATCAAAGATTATCACAGTTTCCACAAAAATATTAAGCTGTAAAACAGTTTTTCAACAATCATAAGAACCAATATTAATAATTGAGCACCAAAAATAATCTAAATTAATTGAGCAGCAAATCAGCATATTAGACTGATTTCTGAAGGATCATGTGACACTGAAGACTGGAGTAATGATGCTGAAAATACAGCTTTGCATCACAGGAATAAATTACATTTTAAAACATATTCAGATAGAAAACTTTTCTTTTAAATTGTAAAAATATTTCACAGTATTACTGTTTTTACTGTATTTTTGATCAAATAAATGCAGCATTGGTGAGCATAAAAAGACTTATTTCAATAACATTAAAAAACCTTAATTATTCCAAATGTTTAACCGGTAGTGTATTTAAGATCTTTTCTTGTTTGAAAAAACTGCCACCAATTCACTGCCATGAAGCCCGTCTATAGCACAGATGGTTCAAAACGACCATCACATCAAAAGTTTAATACTTACAATCCTTATAATAATACAACTTTTCACAATCTAATTAAATCCAGATGGAAAACTGAAGTCCCGTTTTACATTTCTGTTCCACTCAGAAATGAACGCTGTTAGGGAATGTCATTCATGTTGTCTTTAACGGAGTGGTGCATGTTCAACGGCAGACACACAGATATACATGCGCACTTACTCACCCATGTTTAATGTGACAGTTATGATGTTCAGAGACATGGTGGAGTCAGTTATGCTGCTGAACGATGAGGACTGGAGAGATCGAGAGAAAGAGAGCGAGAGATGAGGACACACTTAAAGAGACAAAACTTCAACACTGATAGCCATGAGGTTTATCTGGAGTCTCACCCTCTCCATTCTGGGTGCTTTGGGTTTCTGTCTGCGGTGGCGATGGCGTCTCATGAGACGTGACGATGTGCTCTGCTCCGTAGAGCTGCTGAACCTGTAGCAGCATCACAGATGACACACGATCTTCAAAACATCATATTCAGCCTGAAAATGGCTTTTGTGCACATATAATGCACATTACAGTCCTCTCAGCTCTGATTGGTCCTGAGAGTCACGTGATGCATACCAGCCAATCGTCTGCATTAGTGTAGTAGTGTATCAGAGCATGGAAAACCATGCTTTGTGTTGGCTTTCCAGGGCATGTGATTTGAGTGTACATTAAGTCATCTTCATGAGGAGGCGATATGAAGAGCCATAAGCTACACTTAACATGTATAGTTCCACCATATCTCTGACTCTTACAATTGGATCTTTTTGTATATATAACTTTATAATGCCCATATTCAGATGACCTCTGTGAAGGCTGGCCTCTTTACATGTGAAAAACATCAGCATAGTTCACACTGTCATTGATTAGGATGGAGCAGAAAGGGTCCTTGTAATAGATTTAATAATCTTTATGCAAAATACTTTTGACCCTTAAAAACTATTTGGACCCTTAAGATTTTTTGGCATTTTGATATTATTTTCAGGACCATCAAGCTCATTCTGTCCTTTGATTCTCATTACGGTAATGCAAACTACAAAGTGTTTGTAGTAAATTCTCATTACTGTAACATGGAAAATAAAGATTAACATATTATTTTTATTACTATTATTATTATGTATACGTCAGCTTTTGTTTTACAGTCTTTAATCAAAACATTTAATTTTTAAATAAAAAAATTTAATGAAAATGTAATATTTTATTTTAATAAAAAAAGTATTGCAAAACTTTTACTATTACAATAAAAATCGACTGTATTACTGTAATGAAAATCGTTGTTAAAAACAATGAATTTTTTTTAATCATTGCGAAACAGTATTTAGTACTGTAATCAAATAAAACATGGACTGTATTACTGTAATTAAAATCATTATTAAATATAATGTGAAAGAAATTCATTTATATTACGAAATAATCTAATCAAATGGGGGGAAAAACACTATTTTGTATTATAATGCAGTTAAAAATTACTGTAAAGAAAATCATTGTTAAAAATGAGAAAAATTCATCTATTTAAAAAAAATAAAAAAAATTGAGGAATATTATTTTGTACAACTGTCTGTATTACTGTCATGAAAATCACTGTTAAAATATTGAGAAAGAAATTTATTTATTTTACTAAAAAATCATTGCAAAACAGTATTCTTTACTGTAATACAATAAAAAATGGATTGTATTATTGTAATCAAAATCATCATTAAAATAATGAGAAATTTGCTTAATTATCCTGAAAATAATATCACATTACAAACAGTTCTCAATGTGCTAATAGTAAAGTAGATTATATTTACTTGCTAAATATTTTTTTCCCCCTCTTCAGTCTGACTGACATGTAAACTGACCATTATGCAGCTTAAAGGCAGGTTTATTAGAAATCATAGATACCACAATAGCAGTGTCAGACTCTGTTCCGTGTTTTGTGGTTGTTTTGCTCCTCATGTGCCTTCCTTTCCCATGTTTAATTTGTCCCAGGTGTTTCCCTTGATTGTTTCATTTGCTCCCAGGTGTGTCTCGTCATCCCCTCCTCCTGTGGGTATAAATGGTGTTCCCTGTGTGTGCTCCAGCGTCCGGTATTGTTCAGGTCATGTTCATGTCATGTCTCCATGTATTGCGTGAGTGTTCCGTGTTCCTTTGTGTAAATTAAAACCCAGTTGGATTGATGTACTCCTCGTCTCTCTCCGTTCCTTGCTCTGACTCTTCTCAGCAGTGCACCCGTGACAGAATACTGGTAACCTTGACATTTTATTTTATGATTTAACATTTGTAAATGGTCTAAAGCAAAAGAGTTGTAAAAAGTCTGAAAATCTTTTGGAGTTCATAATTTGTTTAAAAAATATAACATATTACACATTAATATGAATAATGAATAAATCAGTATATATAAAACTATTTAATTAAGTATCATTGTTTGTGATTTTTTTTTTGTTCATGTAAGCTATAGCTTCTGACCTTTAAATCAAAACATACTCATGATTTTATGGCATCAATTACTGCTTTATTTAATCATAAATATTATTTGTGTATTTTGTTTTAATTTTATTAGAAGTAGGCCAACAGCGCCCCCTACGGAATTATAACACCTAACTGAGCGGGCTTTAGGACCCGATTCCGATATTGGTCCAAAAATATCGTGCATCCCTATTATTGACATAAATTTTATTGTGACCTTGGCATGAAATCCTTTACCGCCCAGCCCTACATCATCAGATGTCTATTTCAAAAGAGTAAGAAAAACCCTTCTTTTCCATGACTGGTTTCTTGACATGAGTCTGTGAGAGCAGGACTCACCTGCTAGCAGAGTCCTCCTCCTCTGAGTCGAAGAAGCTGGTGGTGTCCAGCTCACTGCTCATCAGTGTTGAGGAGCTCTCATAGCCGGCGATCTCCGGCCTGCGCTCCGGCCGCGAGTGACCGTTCATCCGGCCTCCTGCAGCAGACAACACTCATCAAACAAGCCTGTGTGTTTCCTCATCATTAGCCAGGACTGACTCATGGGTAAACTCACCATGGTCATGTGTATCTTTCCTACGAGGCCTCTCTCTCTCCCTCTCTCTGTCTCTGTCTCGGTCTCTTCTCAGCGATGGACCTACCTCAGGCTCGGTATCATTGCCCAGGTCATCCTGACTTCCTGCGGCATTCGCACTGGACAAAAAGAAGAAGGCAGAATAATGAAGGACGAGTGTTCAGATGACACATAGCTGAGTGACACGGAGGCTTTTTAAAGAGAACTCAGTCAATGATCTGTGAACAAAACCATTTCTAAACAGGTTTTACTTAATGATTAATTTGCTAATCGATTCATAAAGCATTTGTAAATCATTGGACAATGAAAGTGTATCATGTTGGAATCACAGACAACTCAACATTTAACCTATTCTATACAATTAAACAAAATCACTGTGATGAACTGCTGTACTGAACTAAGAATGTAATTAATATTATTGTCAAATACAACTAAAACCATTAAAAATTGCTTCTTGAAATTATTGAATATCAACCTTCATACACCAATATTTTCCAAAATGTATTTTAGGGGCAAGAATGATTATTTTACTTTTTATTATCATTATTATTATTATTTTCTTGAAAATATACAAAACAAAAAATGGCCCAAAATATATTAGTAAAAATATATTTATGTACATACATATTTTTGATATATTTTGAAATATATATATAAAAAAACATTTTTAAAATAAAATACTAAATAAAATAAAAACTTTAACATATTTTATTTGAGTTAACCGTTAACATTTCTCATTTTTGTAACTTGAGGTACTAAAATATCTCAATTAAATAAACTAAAACTAATAAATAAAAATGAATAAAAACTATATGGGCAAAAAAAAAAAACTAACAAAATTACTAAAACTTTAACCAAAATTAAAGTGAAAACAGAAAATATAAAAATAAAATTGATAATATATTTAATAGTATTTTACTATAATAGTATACTACTATTATAGTATATCAATTATACTAAAATAACACTGGAAAGAACACAAGGCCAGTATTTGTTTCATTATTAGCCAGTCTTGCCATAAGCAAGCTTAATGAGCAGCATTTTCTAGCTAGCTTTAAAGATATTCTTCATCAATAGTACGCAATGTGTATAAACTAAAGTGTACCGTAAACATTCACTACGAAAACCTAATTATGACTAATAACATTTTGCAACTCAGAAAAGTTGTGGCTCAAAGAAAATCCCAAAGTGATTTGAAGGCAGCAGAAATGTCAGCTGATCCTGTATGTGTGTTGGGGGCAAAGTACAGTGTGTAATTGTTTCTGTGTGTGAGGGGATCCTTGTCCATTTGCACTGAGGATCAGCAGCAGAGGGCGATCACAGGTTACTGCTTTTAGTATGAGGGTAGAATGATGTCAAAAAGATTTGCATACGCAGGGTAATATTTGTGGAAGTGTACATAACTTCCTTAACAGGCTATATGATATATTAGTTTATTGTAATATTATATTGTAATTTTGATGATACTTACAGAAGGTCTAGTATCTGCACTAGCCTAATACATGCATAATTTCACCTGTCTACTGATCCATTTTTTAAACACAAATTTGGTTCAATAATAATTGAACCAACTGTAATAATTTTTTATTTAACTTTGTAATTTAAGAGGATTTTACAAAACATTACTAAAATATTTATTAAAATATTTATCTCTAACTTATTCACCATTTATCATCTGTAATACTATCGTGTAACGATACCATAGTGATACC